TTATTTGTATTATATACGTGTACAAATTAATAACAATGTTGTGTCTCATCAGAATGGAAAATACCTGCGTAATATGTAATTAAGTAGTACTTCCGTCTTGTTTTAAATCTTGAGGTAAAAGTTTGACGTGTAATCAGAAGAACTGCTTCGGAGTAGGTAGGTACGGCAAAGAAGAAAACGAATTGGAGAAGTGAAAAAAAAGCGAAAATCGGAATGCGAATATGGAGAGTAACGGATCCTTAAAAAATACCGATGGATCCGTACGGCGCGATGTCATGCGTAATACTGGCACCTGGGTATACAAGCTACCGAGCTGAGAGGAAGGAGTGTATGCGAATACACCGATCCGAACTAAGTTGCGACGAATCACCTCGCAAGGATGTGTGCAACCGAAGAGTGAATTTTCTTCGACTTGGCTCAACATTGAATCGTATTTAAAAAATGTAAAAAAGAACAGAATATAAAACAGAATAATATGTAATATGTTTACAGGTATAAAGAGTGCAAAAATTGAATTAATATTTTAGGAAACTAGGGTATCTGTAGGCAAATGCGGACCGTTATATGCAAATGTCTGTCAGACAGAGTATTGAATATGTACTCTTTGTAGCATTCTTCTAGTAAATAAAGATATTAATTTCGATTCTTTCCGATTTTTATTTAGTTCTCCTTCGATGAAAAAATTGTTTCATCTATTAATATGTAAAACTATTAATATTAACTGTTTTTGGGAAAAAAATGCATAAGAGCATAAATTTAATATTACACATGTACATTGGTAACAATTGTGTTTTTAAATGCCTTTATTTTTAAATTTAAGTATTATATTATTAAATACCTTAAAAATATCATCTTAAGTATATCTTTTATTTAAAAATATTTAAAAAGGCATCGAGTTATGCAACAGCAAATCTTGCTTGCTGTATTCGTTAAATTTTCTGTCAATTTATCGTGCATATTTTCGCTCGATTTTTGTTTCTGTTGTTTGCTGTTAGATTATGTCAGCGAAGCTTACGCAGATTTTAGCACCAATTCTCATTTTATGTGTGTGAGCAGCGCAAGTTTTGCAAGCGAAACACAAGCCTAACATAGATGGTTTCGGTTTTAATACAAAATTTTGATTAAATTTGCTACCAATTTGCAAGATTGCTATCATTTTATTTAAGGAGATTGTCTTCCTTGCATGATCTGTTAAATATTCTATTTTGCATCATCATTTTTTAAAATAAATTTTTCTATTCTACAGTACCATTTAGCATTATGTCGCGCAATGTTTTCAATCCGTAATTCTTTATCAATTGAATTAAACAGTATCGTGGGAAAATCTGACTCTCCTTCTCTTCGCCTCTCTATCTGGTTTAATGCGATGGGAACGGATTCATCTTCGCAGTTTTACATCGCCGACGGACTACAGACTTAATCCTTGACACGCATCATTGTGCCGTTATTAAATCGCGGTAGATCCTGTAGTTCTTTGAGGTACAGACGGTTATTATAAGCAGCGGCGATATTGCAGCGCGGAATTTACTGGTGAATTCAATGTGTATGTTGATGGAATAACTTATTCTGACCGACCACCCGAACAATTTACAGTGTTGCAATCTGCAGATAATTAATTGTTCCATTGTATGGTGTATGATAAGTGTTGTGAACTGATTTCGATCACAAGCTTTATATGTGGAGGCAGTTGACGCTTTAATCTTCTGATATAATATAATACATTTTTTTCGATATGTAATCATGCAATTTATATCAATATTCATATCACGTACATTAGTGCATAAGCGTTTATTGTACAACAGTTTTCATATATTTATTTATTTATTATCGAATTTTTCTCTCGTCTGAATGACTAAATAATAAAAAATAAAGTTTAAACAAAACTTATCTGCTGAAATAATAGAATAATAATAATAATAATAATAATAATAATAATAATAATAAAACAGAGAGACTAAGACCATGAAAAAATAGGATTATTTTATCATTAAAGACTAAAAGCGATTAATATGGACTTTTTCTATTTCTACTTCAGTATCATAAGGTTTAAAAAATATTGATCGTTATATGAGAGGAGCGCATAATTACGCAAATATCAATATCTACAGTAATCGCATGCCAAAGTAGGACATTGCGAAACTAGCTTCGGGCCTCTAGCTTCGAGTCACTTTAGACGTACGCTCCCCTTTCTCCGGAAGCCCTTACTCAGTGGAAATATTCACAGCAAGATGTGTATTAAGATACACGGATATATTATAGAAGCGTATATCTAAAATTAAAAAATAGTAATAAAAAATATTAATATATTAATATAATTAAATATAATAAAATATTAATATATATTGAGAGGTAAAAAGTTCTCGTGTAAACATAAATCTCCTGAATAATTATTTAAAAATACGTTTACTGCTTAGAACTTGAACCATCTTGCGATTAAAAATAATATACTTCGTTTATTTTAATCACTGAAAATGTAAACGTTTATGTATAAAGTTCAATTTTACCTAAAAGTTATTACAGCTTTAAGCAATTGTAGAACTTTTATGTAAATATCAGGATGTACACTTGAATTGATATTTTGTTTTAAAAAATCATTTATTTTCTTATACCAACGTATACAAATACTTCAAATTTTTTAATTTAAGAATTGTCAAACCTAGCTATTTATGTTATGTAAGAGTATATTTGGTTTAAATTCCATCGAGTATTTTGAAGAAATATTCCACCTGGAAAGATCCAACATACGTACATACATTACATAAGAGAAACAAGTGACAAATGTGATTAAAATTGTAATTACCTCTAATATCCCGTCTTCCGGTAAGTCAGAGCAATGTATAGCATTTTGTACTTTCGTTTTCCCATACTTGGCTCTAAGCGTATTCGGTCTGATTTGCCGTGCAATGTCCTGTAATCAAATAAGTATGTCAATAACGCGAGGCAAAGCAATTAAAGTTGTCTATACTTACCGGATCCATTGGACCGCATAAATTCCTGAAATCAGCAACTATGTTAGGGCTCTCGTCTTTATGGCTCACTTCCATAACAATGCACGGACCGGATTGTAATTCTGCTACCATCGCCTATAGCAAGTTCATGAAAATATTTCCAGCTTTAGAATTAATTACTTGTAAGAAGAGTATGTAAATATATAGAAACCTACGGTATATTCAGGAAGAACACCTTTATATATTTCTAAAAATTCTTCGGAATTAATTGGATTAACATAAAATTGTTGTACTGCGGTGATTGTGTAGCCTGCTTTCTGAATGTCATCGAAAATGGCACCTGGATTATAAACATAAAATAAAATTGATTGAAAAGAATATATCACATCAGATAGAGGTTTCAAAGTTATATGAAAAATCCCTTAGTTGCTATTTTACAATTTTCTTTTTTTACATATTAAATAATAAACAAAATAAACTTACCAAGAAGCCCTTCTTGTACAGCATGTGGCTTGATAATGCAACAGGTGCAGTTTTGTAGAGTTGCAGTGTTTTTCAGACCTTTATTTTTACATTTTGAGTCAGGAAAAAAGTATTGCAATTCCTGAAAATATCCAATCAGATATTATATCAAGATAAATGTTTTTAGATTAACTATTGTACGTTAGAATTTGTACCTGCATTGCTGTTTCAGTATCTTTGGATCCATATACGGCATTATGTATATCATCTTTTCCATAACAAGCTCTTAATGAAGATGGTGCTATTGAACGTGCATCCTTACTATCTTCTGGGCCTGCCAGTTCTTGCCACCTCATTATACCATTTCCTCCTAATAATTCTAAAGCAACGACAGGGCCAGATATAAGATAATTTATAACAGACCTAGAAATAAACTTTTATAGCTACAGTATCTAAAATTTACTAAAAAATAATAAACGGTTTACTTTTAGGACAATGTTAGCAATTGTTAGCAATACAAAATTTAACTTACGTCTTATCGATTTCGTCTTTTACAAGATTACATTCTGCAATATCGTTTGGAGTTAATCTTATCATTTTTATATTTGTGATATAAAAATCATAATTTATAATGGCTTTCAATATTTCACCCATTTTGTCAATAACATCTGGTTTCAGAAATACAAAAACCCTGAAAGAGTAAAATTATGTCAATTAAGTAAAAATATTTAAATACCAAAGAAATCATATATAAAAATTATTTGTCTACTTACTTTTGTAGTTGAGTTTCTAATTTGGTTTTGGTACAGGCATCTGCGTAACCTGTAATTTTGATGCATCTTGAAAATATTGTGATTACAGTACCGACATAAAAGTCTTTAGCTGTAATGCCTTCACATGTTGTTCTTCTTAGGAAAGTCTTCTTTGTTTTTAAGTCAAACTGAAATAGAGCACACACACATATAGTCCCAACATTTGTTGTGCATGGACGCATAAAGAACATTTAAAGAGAGAGCAACTTGATTTTAAAATAAAACTATATGGTTTTTCTTACATCATACGATTCCTCTAGTCATTTTGCATATAAAATATATATTAAGATAAAATTATAAAAAGATTAATACTTTACAAGACATTTAATACTTTATTTTGATATATCTTGATATAAAATATACAGTATCTTGAAAAATATTAATTTCTAAATTATTTTACTTTAATACTTTAACGTACAGAATAATGAGATAAATCAATTGACATATAGAAAATGCATAATTACTTTAAAGAAATAGATGCAATTTGTAATGCATAAATTATACATTTTATATCATTTTTTTAATATTATTTGAAATAGTAAAGATATTTAAGGTGCTTAAGTTTGGAATAAACACATATGGTATTAGTATAAACATATGTAATACTAATTTGCACGTACCAATTCGACAGTATTATCAGATGGATAATAATACAGATAAAATTTCTTCAGCATACAGGCAACTTGGTCATACCATTCAGCTTCAAATACATATCTGTTGCTGTAATCTGCAGACATCTCAAAACTTGCATATTCTGACGTAACGTATTGCTAACAATAATTGACAATATGTGAAGAATGTTTAAAACTGCATCTCATAGAAATTAAACGGCTAGTTTTTATAAAATATAAAATCGTCACTTAGTTTAACAAAAATATCAGGTTAATTGGAAATATAATTTAATTTGTTTCATACATATCGTTATATCATGTCCAAATATTTCAGCAATGTCATAATGTCAAAGACAAAAAGTTTAACGGAATAAAAAAAAAACAATTGCTATGGCAGCAAAAAGATATGAAAACAATCGGAGCAAAGACTGAAAACAGTGAAAACCGTGTTCTTTTTTTGCGACGTTGTTGGGCAATACTGGGCAATACGCCTCTACGTTCGCAAAATGTAAATATTGAACTACGTAACCACGTCCACGAAACTTTTCAGTAGGTAACATGCTGTGCGGTTTCTCACTTTTCTACTCCGTCGATAACAGATCTTTAATGCAATCATTATCGATAGAAAAATACGAATAAACGGCGTGTACAAAACAGACGGCAAAGACAATTGCTTGTTTAATTTGAAAAATTATAATTGCACTTTAGTACAAACAATACTTTTCCGACAAGCTCGATAAACAATGGAGAGAGACAACGGTCTCGCGGATTTATGAACTTCCGTCGAATATACATATACTTCCTCTAAAATACAGAAAGTTAGAAACCCTCTAATGCGCTAAATCTCACAAAAAAGACTAATATGTGACCATTCTCTGCTATACAACTAATAAAAAAATTAAAAAAAAGTTTAATAATAAAGAATATTATTTATGTACTACATACCTTGGTGAAAAATATTTTTCTCAGAAATTTTGTAAGAATTCAGACTTATATAAAAAATTCTGAAAAAAATATATAAAATTTCTCAGATACTTTCTGCAGAAATAATTAGATAAAGATTTTCGGAATATTTCAGTATATTTATATGTATAAAATTCTGATAAATTGCATAGATTTTTCTCATATTTATTCAGATTTTTATAAAGATGTGTTGGCGGGAAAATCTGAAATATTTATTATTTTGTCTGAGTTTTTCTGAAAACTTTCCAATTTGTATAAAAAATCTAAAAAATTCTGAGTATTCTGAGAAAATCTGAAAATTTTTATAGAAATTCTAATTTAATAATATAAAAAATTCTGAGACATTTTTCCATCAGGGTAACGCAACTGTATAACTTGTAACGAAGGATATGTACAATAATATAATAATTATTTTTTCCTTTCGTCTTTTGAAACAACATCAGCTATTATATGATAAAATGATTTGATCGTATCTTAACTATTTTTATGTTAATTATATGCTTTTCATAAGTATAATTTGATCGATCTAGTGTTTGAAATTGATCAAGCGAGCCTTAGCAACCAAATCTCCAGCGCTAGGCAACGCACAAGCGTTTGCAGGTTTGCACAAGACAACGTGTCTGACTGACGTGCACGCACGCATGCACGCACGAACGAACGGACGAACGAACGAACAAAACAAAACGCGGTTTTGACAGCTCCGGCTGGTCTGGCTGGCGCGGAGAAAACGCACCTTTCGTGATACGTAATCCCTGACGCGTGATCCACATTTTATAATTAAATCCCGTGCCTCCCCCGTGTCAAATAGTAGTGAATCGCAACCCTGTCTGGAACACTGGACGCATCCTAATTGGAATGTCCACATGAGGCTGCTGAAATTCTTGCTTCGTTATTTCCCACCAGGTAAACAGACGATGTACAGGGTGCATTAATGATGTTGCCTCCCCCTGACCGCGCTCTCTCGTATTTTTAAAAATTAATTTAGTGTAGCATACTTGAGAAAATACTAATAACATACTTAATTGGGTTTAAATCCTTTTAGGTCTCGCTCTGGAGTACACGCAAGGCGGTGACATCAAGACAAAAATGATTGATTTACTGGACTTGTCCGCCGAGTAAGATCAGATCAGATCAGATTTAACTTTCACATTTAGCTTTTTTATTCGTCGTATAGCAACGTATAGCTGTTTAATTATTATTTTATATTTGCCTTTATTTTACTTCGAGTATTTTGATCGCAAGATCGCGGAATAAAGCGAGCAATTTTATAGCAATTAAACAATTTACTTTCCAGAACGGACATAAGAGCATTAGCGGAAAGCATAAAAGCGGCCGAACCTATAATAACCGAAAGTGTAATGGACCAGTTAGTTGAAACTTTGCAGAAGCTGCAGAGTAAAGTTTGCGATACAAATACTAAGCGCTACTACAAATACAAAACCTTACAGACACATCTTTTGCCAGTCACTAATATAGCGTTCGATAAACTAGGTAAAAGGTACTCCACATTAAAACTGTCGCTTAATTATTAATGAAAACTTGTAAAATTTATATGAAGTAAGTAATGTTTTACGTTAATTAAGTTCCATGATATATGATATGGGCACAATCGATTTAAGAGCTACTAAAAGAGAAAGATATAAAATATGTAAAAGCGTTAAGAATAAATTATTAGCAGCGAACAACTTGTCGAAGTGTAGCGTAGCGTATAATCGACACATGTCATCCGTTCGATCGACAGATGCTTGACGGGAAGCTATGACCGAACTTGTAAAGTTTGGGACATTGACAGTGGAGCGGAGCTTTTTACTCTCGAAGGCCATAAGAACGTGGTCTATGCCGTCTCGTTCAACAATCCGACTTCGTGAGTTAGTTACAATAATTCAGAGTTAGTCGCGACTATATTGATCCGGGATTGAAAGTAAGGCGCAGAACTCGTGCGACTTACCGCGACCGAGATTTTCTTTTTTAATGTATAACGCGCGTTATACATTACGTACGTTGCAATAACGGCGCATATCCCAGACAATGTCCAAAATCGGGGCATAAGATGTCTTAAAGAACGTCTTATGTCCTAATTTTGGACATTGTGCTGTCTTAAAGACGTCCTTAAAGATGTCTTGTGCTGATTTTGAACATTGTGCTATCTTAAAGACGTCTTGTACTGATTCTGGACATTGTGCTGTCTTAAAGACGTCTTGTGCTAATTTTGGACATTGGGCTGCCTTAAAGACAGTCTTACGTCCTGATTTTGAACATTGCAGTGCTGTCTGGGATGTTAGTCCTATCGTCGTTTACCATTTCAGAGACAAAATTGTGACCGGGTCCTTCGACAAAACGGCGAAGGTCTGGTGTTCGCGGACGGGTCACTGCCTCGCAACCATGTGGGGTCACGATGCGGAAGTGGTGGTGGCTAAATTCTCACCGACGCGTTGCAAGCTCGCGACAGGCTCCATCGACGCGACGTCAAAAATATTCCATATAGAAACCGGTATTGAAAATATCGCAATGTTATCTCACATAATAAACGTGCGCTTCGATTTGTACCAGTTCACGGATCGATCGGGCGAGCAACATGCCACACTGTCGAGTTCACTTCGCGATGCTCGAACACAGCAGCGTGCAAACAATATGCGAGAGCAGTTAACGTATTCTTGTATACCGTACTCATTGCTATTATCCAATTATTACCGGCTTTACGTTATCGCAGCGGCTGCCTGATACTCTAGTTCTAATTAAACGAGCTTAAAGAAAGTCACCAAGTTGTCTCGAACTCTCAGTTGTCTCTCTGAAAGGCAATTTAGACAATTTAGAATTTTAACGAAATATTAATTGCTATTGATTGATACCAGAAATGGCTTTAATACATTTAGTTATTTAGTGCAATGGACAAATGTTTTTTAAACACACACGTTTAGTCGTTTCTAAAGCGAACAGATTAGATTAGACAAGTTCCTGGTTTTGTTATTTATAATTATTTGATATAATTTTTAAACTCAAGAATATTAGTAGGTTCGCTATCTCAAACATCCGACATGGTTTCCCCGAATAAAAAAAAGATACGTCGTAAACTTTTTATGCGAGAGACACGATTTGGATTCGGCAGGTCAGGAGTTAGGCACGTTACGGGGACACACGGCGGAAGTTATTGCGCTGCATTACAACGACGATGGAAATCAGATCATATCGGGTTCTTTCGACGGAACAGTGAACATCTGGGATACAAGAACATTTGCGTGGGTTTTCCTCTTATCTCGTGTATTATCTTATCTTATTACTATCTCTTAAGTCTAACGCGTGACTTACGTGAAATTACATAAAATATCAAATAATTGCTTGACACACTTTCCAATCAATTTCTCACCTTTTTTCTCTTGTTAGCATGTCGTAATGTAAGCTCTATAAAATCATATTTTTTCGAAACAATTTTTTTCCTTTGTATGACGTCTAGTGTGTTTAATCAAAGATAAAATACTTTTGATTTACAATCCTATAGACGGACGAGCGTGTTAATCGGCCATCACGCGGAGTTGTCCAACTGCCTGTATAATTACGACTGTTCATTGATCGCGTCGTCCTCAATGGATAAAAGCGCGAAGGTCTGGGACGCGAGAATGAATTCTTGCCTGGCTACATTGTTGGGACACGACGATGAAGTTTTGGATCTCGCTTTCGACAACAACGGCAAGAGACTGGCGACAGCCAGCAGCGATACTACCGCGCGAGTTTGGGATATAAGCAGCAATTTTCAACAGTTGGCTCTCACGAAAGGCCATCGAGAGGAAGTGTCAAAAGGCAAATTTTTTTATCGCAAACAAACACGTCTATTCTATATCTATGTGCTACAATATATATAAGTGTCTAAATATATAAATATATAGATATAATAATCTATGTAAATGTGCTAAAAGCCTACAAATTTTTAGTTTGCTTCAGTCCGAATGGCCATCAACTTCTAACTGCCTCCTTGGACAGAACAGCCAGGCTGTGGTCCGCGGACGATGGCTCCTGCTTTCAGCAACTGAAAGGACACACCGACGATGTTTTCGCTTGCGCATTTTCATATACGGGGGATACTATAATTACCGCCAGCAAGGACAACACTTGCACGATTTGGAGGTGACTCGACTGGTTTCAAGTGTCCGCTTAGCTTCTACTCATCGCTCTGTTTATCGTTTACATTGTATATTTTTATGTTATCTGAATAACGGCGAGCGCAGCCTATTGCTTTTCGATAAACAGACGACCGATAACATTAAGTGCTTTCGCGTTCTACCAGACATCGTCAACATTTTGACAATGGTAAATAAGAGTGGTATTTCCAAAAAAGGAATTTTTCCAGCGAAACTATTACTGATATAGAAAATTTAACGTAAAAGCGAACAAATTTCGCTGTATCATAATCAATTATTCGATATTATAGAAATAATAAAATTTGTTCTTTTAGTAAAATAGAAAAATCTTGCTAAGAGTAAATTTGTTCGTAGAAACGAGTGAATTTT